AGTTTGCACTTAGGGTATATTCTAAGAAACTGGCCTCGGCTGTCGGTCAGGCAGCTATGTTGTCGCCGCCGCGTCGCCGCCCGTCGTCTGGGCCTGGCTGTCGGTCGCCGCGCCTGTTGTTGCCGTCGACGCCCGTCGCCGCCTCGTCGCCGCCCGTCGTCTGGGCCTGGTGGTCTGTCAGGCAGCTATGTTGTCGCCGTCGCCGCCCCGTCGCCGCCTCGTCGCCGCCTGTCGTCTGGATATGGCTGTCGGTCGCCGCGCTTGTTGTCGCCGTCGCCGCCCGTCGCCTCGTCGCCGCCCGTCGTCTGGTCCTGGTGGTCGGTCTGGCGGCTACGTTGTGTTGTTGCCGTCGCCGCCCGCCGCCGCCGCCGTCTTGCTTCGCATTGCTTCGAATTGCTTCGCATTGCTTCGCATTGCTTCGCATTGCTTGGCATCGCTTTGCATCGTTTTGCACTTGCATGCATCGACTTGCCGTGTTCGGCTTGGCTTCATAGATACGATCCCCCCTAACAGCATGATCGACCACCTACCGTTGGCAGCGCCCCCTGGGATAATGCACTTGACACATGATGCTGCACCATCGTGCGTTTCAGCATTTTACATCTCAATTCAGACCTCCCTAGGCAGGCCGCTCTCGGCCCTAGGCAGGCTGTTGTCACCCATCTCTGGCAAAGAACACTATGCGCACACACTCGCGCATCAGAAATCAAAAATCACAAGCTTTCGAACATTCCTGGCCACAAAAATACACTGTCCACACACGCGCGGCATCGCGCGCGCAAGCCGAAATCCGTTTGAAACCTGAGGTGCCGGAAGGGATTCAATGTCGAGGTTCCCGACAATATCTAAAACTCAATGATTCGGCAACCTGGAATTTAAAAAATGCTCGCGTGCTCTGTCGGACTCTCATGAAAGCCATAGGTTTCCAATTGTTTATCACTGAATGAAACCAAGCGGGCCTTTTGCGCGCGCATGTCGGAATCATCCGAAAGCCCCTGCGCGCTTGCTGGGGGGGGGGGCGATCCCTGTCAAATAACACAGTCCAGGCCACTCGCGCGCGTCGGCCGCGCGCGCATGCAGGCATCCTCCCAAAACCTTCATCACCAACACGCGGACTCCGTCTGAGTCATCGGCGTGGCAAACATCGGCGCCGTCATTGGCCTTGCCGTCGTCATCGTCATCATCGTCACCATTACTGCTACCATACTCATCGTTTCTGCCATTGTCGACATCACCATGATACTGCGCCCGCCCGGGCCACCAACTCGAAGTCAACCGCCCGCGCGCCAGCGCGACCTGTGAAACAAGCTGGAAAGTCCCCAGCGGTCAGCGCCCCCGCGGCCGCGCTGGTTGTGTTAGCTGGCCGCTGTGCGCGCGAGGTTGTGCGCTGTAGCGCTGCCGCAGCGACGCGCCAGCCAGCGCCAAGCAGTCATCGGTTTAGCAAACAAAGCTTCAAGTGGGTGGGTGAGATGTTTGCGCAAGCAGTAGAGTTGACAATTCCAAGTACTTCAACATGAAGTGCACCACAGAGATCGAACCACATATATTGCACAGCATAGACAGCAGAAACACAAAGTGCACAACATCGATTGCACCACATGGATTGTCCCACACGTACGGCACAACGTACAGTGTATCGCCCAGATCGCACCACATAGATTGCACAACATAGATTGCACAACATAGGTCGCACGGCACAGATTGCACAACATAGATTGTACATCATAGATTGCGTTACAACGATTGCAGCACATAGACAGCCAGGATCACACTGGTTGGGGTCCAAATTGACTAACACGTGCAACAGCTTAAAGAATGGAGGGCGGGTCGTTTTCAAACCATAACTCTCGCCATAGCGCCGCGCACATTCGCCTTGAAGATTTACAACAGCTTCAGAAATTATGGGCGACTCGTTTGACGGTGTCGTTCTAGCCCCAGCGCCGTGCGCATCCTTCTTAAAAGTTTGCAGCACACTCAAAGATGAAGAGCTGCTGTGTTTCGAAATGTGGCTCTTGCCCTAGCGCCGCGCACATTTGCTTCGAAAGTTTGCAACCGTTTCCAGGATTTGAGCGGTCGGCATCCCATATATGGTGCGCTGACAAGACTTATGATCCACAGGACGCACCTGTCACGTTGATTCGCAGCGTGGAGGTTCCAAGAATGGTGCTCTGGCACGGTCACGGGTTGCCAGGACGCAAAAGTCACATTGACCCGCGACGCTGAAGTCCCAGGACATATGGATTGGCACGATTGAGGATTCTCATACGGTTGTCGAGTGGGGCATGGCCCGCAATGAAAATAAGCCCGTGCAAGGGACATGAAAAGGGAACTTGGAGGGACGGCGAATTTGAACATCGCTGATGCGCCTCGGGTTTACACTAGTCCTCCTCATCAGCAACAACAGCACCATCATCACCAACAACAACATACGTGCCATCATCGTCATCATCATCACCATCATCGTCATCATCATCATCATCATCAGCATCATCATCATCATCATCAGCATCATCATCATCAGCATCATCATCACCATCGTCATCAGCATCATCATCATCATCATCAGCATCAGCATCAACATCACCATCATCATAATCAGAATCAGCATCATCATCAGCAGCAGCATCATCATCATAATCATCATCATCATCAGCAGCAGCATCATCATCATCATCATCATCATCGTCATCATCGTCATCATCAGCATCATCATCATCATCATCATCATCATCATCATCATCATCATCATCATCATCATCATCATCATCATCATCATCATCATCATCATCATCATTCTCGTCATCCCCATCACCGTCAGATCTGCATGGTCGTCATCAGACTACAACTATGCAGGAAACCCGCATCGCACCCAACAAGGCCCAAGAGGCTTCCAAGGGGCACCCGAGACGCACCCGAGAGGCCCCCCGACAGGCCCCTAAGAGTCAACCAGGTGCCCCCAAGTGCCTCTACGAGGCCTCCAAGAGGCCCCTACGTGCACCCCGAGGCTCCCGACCCAAAGGCCAGGCACGGTGGCACGACTCTTGACGAATTCACTGTCATGGGGGTCGGCAAAATGGCATGAGCCTCTTAAATAAAAAACCACGCGTTGCCGTCACCGTCAGAATCATCATAACCAGCAGAGTCATCCTCGTCGTCGGCATCAGCATCATCGTCAGCATCAGCATCATAACCATCACCATCACCCTCATCACCACCACCAAGCAACCTTACCACCATTCATTTATCGCCATCGTGATCATCATCACTAGCCGCCCTGAGGGAGGGCTCCTCCTCCTACTACTCCTCCTACTCCTCCCCCCCATCACCTTAGACAACAACAGCATGGCCATCGTGACCCGAACCATACGCAGAATCACCAGAATAGTCATTAGCATATTCGTTACCACGACACCAAGCAACATCTCCATCATCGTATGTATAGACATCATCATAATCAGCATCACCATCAGCAGACTTCTCACCTTTATTGACAGCATCATCATCAGCAGCAGCATCCTAATCGTCGCCGTCGTGATCGTCATCGTCATCAGCGTAATCAGACTCGTCATTAGCATGGCCGCCATCACCATAACCATCGTCATCACAATCATCGGCATCGTCCTCGCCTTACTTGCCCCGTCTGGCATAGCATCCTTCCCCTCATCCGCATCATCCTCCTAATCAACATGAGTATTATCAACAGCGTCTACATGATCATCATCATCATCATCATCATCATCATCATCAGCATCACCATCATCAGCAGCAGCATCACCGTCAGCAGCATCATTATCAACATCATCATCAGCATCATCATTACCACCATCCTCGTCGTCATCATCACCAACAGCAACATCATCATCAGCAGCACCAGCAGCAACATTATCAACATCATCCCCTCCCTCCTCCTCTTCCTCCTCCTCCTCTTCCTCAATCTCCTCCTCCTCCTGATCCTGTTACTTGTCCCCCTTGTCCTTTCTCCTCCTCCTCGTCCTCTTCCTCTTCTTCCTCCACCACCACATTCTCCCTCCCTCATCCATCTTCCATCCTCCAACCTCGATCCTGCATCCTGCATCATAGACCCTCCTCCGCCCTCCATCGTCCATCCTTCTCCTCATCATCATCATCATCCTCCGCCTCCTCCTTCCTTGTGGTCCTTCAAAGTGTAGCCCCCGCTACAGCACTAGCCTCATGTTCGGGCTTCCGCTCGTTCCGAATTGTGCTCCCGCTACAGCGCCATCATTTCCGCGCTTCCGCTCGTTCCGAATCGTGCTCCCGCTGCAGCGCTGGCCTCGTTTCCGCGCTTCTGCTCGTTCCGAACCGTGTTTCCGCTGCAGCGCTGGCCTCATTTCCAGCGCCATACCATGGCATGCAATGGCAATGCTATGCTTTTTCGCTGTGCGATGTCATGATTTCAGCTGTAATGCTATGCTATGCAGTGCTTGACTACGCAGTGCCACGCCATGCTATGTCATGCTGCGCGTTGATATTGAACGCCGTGTGGTGCCACGTAATGCTATAACATGCTACGACATCCGACTGCGCGAATAGAGAGGACATCTACGCCACGGAAAGGGATGGGAGGGAGGAGTAGGACGTCAGATAAGACGCTTGCGCACCTAGCTTGTCCAACCGCCTCCTCCTCGCTCTTTTTCCTCCTCCTCCTCCTCCTCCTCCTCCTCATCCTCATCATCATCATCATCAGCATCATCATCATCATCATCATCAGCATCATCATCATCATCAGCATCATCAGCATCATCATCATCATCAGCATCATCATCATCATCATCATCATCATCAGCAGCAGCAGCATCATCATCATCACCATCATCATCATCATCATCAGCATCATCATCATCATCATCATCATCATCATCATCATCATCATCAGCATCATCATCATCATCATCCCCTTTCTCCTCCTCCTCCTCCCCATCCTCCTCGTCCTCCTCTTCATCCTCCTCCTCGCTACCCCAACCCCCTGCAGGGAAGGCCGCCTCAGCTCCTCCCGCAGCGCCTCCCGAGCCGCATCCTCGGCGGCGCACCCGCCGCCGCTGGCGTCGGTCGCCCGCGCGCGGCGCAGGAGCTCCTCGGCACCGGCCCGGGGGGCAGAGGGCCGCGGGCCGCGGCAGCAAGCGAGGGGGGGCGAAGAGGAGAAAGACGAGGAGTGCCCCCCTCAGGGAGGAGGATGAACGACGAAGACGAGAAGGAGGAGG